CTTCCTTCACCACCTCCCACCCCCTTCTCTCTCTCTCTCTCTCTCTCTCTCTCTCTCTCTCTCTCTCTCTCCCGGTCGCACAATAACGGATTTTGCAATCCTATAGTATTAATAAACGGATTTCTCTTCATCCGTCTATCCGCGCACGAGGCGCCATATTTTATCGAGCATCTTTGATATGAGTTGGCCAGGTTCGCGCGAGAAACGCTTTCGATTAAATCGCCGGGCCGACGAGTGCAGTCGCTCGCAGTGTGGGTCAGCTGGCTCTGCGTCTCGCTGACCTCTAACTGTAATATTATATCAAATCCGATGCGCGCGCGCTCTCTCTCTCTCTCTCTCTCTTGTCCAGCTTCTGCTCATCCTCCTGCCTCACGAGACGACTTCACTCCCGTCGCCAGCCCGTTCTTCTTCCGCCCGTCTATCCGTCCACGTATTTGTCCATTCCGCTTTCTCGGTGTGTGTGTCTGTGTGTGTGTGTGTGTGTGTGTGTGTGTGTCTTCTCTCCACGTCGGACTTTCTTTTACATTTATTTATTTCCTAAACGTCCGTCCCCACCGGCTACTTTATATTTGACATTTTTATTAAACCACCTAGCGGCGGGGGGAGGGGAGCCCTGTCCGTTCCGACGGGATCTCCGGGAGGACGCGCGGAGGGAGAGACGCGCGCGCGAGCTGCGTGGAGTGTACGCGCGGGGTCGAGTCTCTCCCATATTGCTGTTAGAGCAATTTCGTAATCTCGGAAGGGTGCTCCTTATATTGACCGAATAAAAAGTCGTATCCGTTGCTGATTCGACGATCGAATATCGTCGTTTCTCCGGGGGGTTCGACGGTATCGCGGGGACTGACCGTTCGCCGCGCCGCTCAAGCCGTAACGCTCGGAATCAGTTTGCCATTTTACGATTATGTTATCTCGTAGACGAGAACTGTCGCGCAGCGTGCGCGTTCGCGTTCGCGACGCGAGAGTGATTTTATCAGCGAGGCATCGAATTTTCTCAGAGCTACTGCGCCGGGAAATGAAACGCTGTGTCCGCCCAGCCGCTAATTCCGAGCACGGTATTCGACCGTGCGCGATCGAGTAAATATCGATGATACTCCGCCGCAGCGAAGTGTGCGACACTCGAGAGACCTTCGTTATCTCGGTGCCTGCCCTCCGATGGACGGCATGTATGGTATTTCCCTTTTCACTCGACACGATGTAAGTTTATACTTAAGAAAATCACCGAGCGCGGTCTGGTCGGGTCGTTGAAAATTCTCCAGATGATTCGGAGATATCGCCGCAGCGAACAGTCTAATTTCCATAAGCCGGCCAGCAGCGGTAAAAGACGTCGTAAATCGCGGCGCGGCGCGGCGCGCCGGGGCGGAATTCGCCCTTTGCGATTTTGTTTTACAGGCGATCCGAGTATCGACGTAGTCCGCGCCGCGACGATATCGGCCGAGTCACGAGATAATACAATATCCGTAGCGTTCCTGTGCACGAGGCGACCGATCGCTCGAGGTGTGACAAACAAGTCGCAATATCCTGATGGGATTTAGCATTCGAGGGGAAAATTATAGTCGCATCGCTCTTTCTGTTCTCGGTCTCTACCTCAGGCGAGGGGGAATTCCGTGCAAGCTTCTACGTTCCACTTCGCGGCGATCCCGATCTGACAGAGACTGTCCCAGTTGTGTTCAATTCGACGTCACGTCTTTCGAGACAAGCTCTCGCGAGAATGCGGAAGAGAAAATATTGTTTTGTTTCTTTCCTCTTTTTTCTTTTTCTCCTTTTATTTTTTCCTCTTCTCGGACGTTCATTGTGCGCGGTTTTTCACAGAATCTCGCTCGCGCTCGCACGATTTGTCCGCACCCGAGCGAGTAGGATAGACTTACGATCGCTCTGGGCAAGTAATTTCAATCGGTATAGTATGTGCGAATTTTCACAGCGTCGAGATTTTTGCAGGTTCGATATTTTGCACCGGCGCCGAGTGATTAATTTCCCCCCTCCCGAATTTTTTACTTGATATTTGAATACTCGTACATTGAGCTTTTAATTTGCTCGCGAGCACCGGCAATTTTGATATTCACTATTTGCCAATGAAACGGGCAAAGTAACATCCAATTTTTTTTCCACCGTATCTCCACAACCATCGTGATCAAACATGATACGTACGCGTAACTATACCGCGTTGCGGAACGCAATGTAAAACGGAGAATGATCGTCCCTCCCCCCTCTCCCTCTTTTTCTCGCTCTCTTTCTCCATGCGCCGGCCACGAGTTCACTCACGACGAACTCGTTTATCGGGGTCGGGTTCATTCCCGACGATCGAACGGTTATTGATCGCACAATTAGCATTACCGGGCTTTTCCGCGAGTCAGGAAAAGAGCTTAAAAACCGTCATCGTTAGCCGCGTCTTTCCGCGGCGTATGGCACGGGCTACGCGCGCTTTTATTATTTCTTCTCCCTTTTTTGCCGTCCTATCTCGCGATATCAATCGGACCAAGAGAGAATCATTAAAAAAAACTAGATCCAGGGTAAAACGGAGCGTACGGGTCGTTTGACGAATCACGAGGCGGCTCTTGGGTATACGCGAACGTGGGGTTGGGAGACGCGCGCGCCGCGGGGCGGGAGGGTGGCACGAGGGAGAGGGCCGGGGGAATGATGTTTTTTTCCTCGGCGGCGCCTCTTTAATTTGCCCTCCAATTAACGGACGGGGTCCTATTTGAAAAATACCTGCCACGAGGGCTGGCAATTATACTTCTTCCTTTTTTTTGCGTCACGAGCGCGTTATTAGCGCTATCCGTCCAACCCCGCCACCGCTACCCGTCCCTCGCGCCTCTCTGTCTCTTTCTCTCCTCCCTCGCGCCTTCGTCTCTCGTTTGCTCTTTCCTACTATCCACCACCTCCAGCACCACCACTACCACCACCACCACCACCACCACCGCCGCCGCCGCCGCCGCCGCCGCCGCCGCCGCTGCCGCCGCCGCCGCCGCCGCCGCCGCCGTCGCCTCCTCCACCAACACCACCACCACCACCATTACCATCACCACTACCACCACTGCCACCATCACCATCACTGCCACCACTGCCACCACCAACGCCATCACCACTACTACCGTCATCTCGCTCACTCATCTCTCCTCTCCTCTTTCTCTCCCTCTCTCTCTCTCTCTCTCTCGCTCTCGCTCTCGTCCTCGTTCTCTCACCCATTTTGTCTTAGTGCGTGTGTGCGAGCACGCGAGGGTGGTCCGTGTGGGCGAGCGTATCCGTGCGCGATTGTATGCGTTTTACGTGTATTGCGAAGCACGCGGGTGAAGTGATGCGGCGGGCGGTGGAAAAGGGGGAAGAGAGAAGAGCCGCGTGGAGAGAGGTGGAGAGAGGCGACGGGTAGGGAAAGGTTCGAGCGAGATACCGAGATAGAGAGATAGAGAAGGAGAGGTGAGAGACAGAGAGTAAAGGGGTAGGTGGCGGCGGTAGGTGGTAGCGAGAGAGAAAATTGGAACCGGGAGTATACGAGGGACTAGCGAGGGGGTGCGGTGGCTGCGGGCCGGAACGCGGGCCAGGGGGCGGGGAGGGGGAGGGAAGGAGTAGCGTTTATAACTCGTGCCCGGGTCTCTCCCGGCTTTGAGAAGGCCAATTAGCAGCATAAAGCTGCAGCTCGGCCCCGAGGCCGAGGATGTTTGTATGTAATAATGGATTGTTACTCAAAGTATCCGGCTAATTAATTAAGCCCCCGCCGCGCGTCCGCCCGCTCGTCGTCGTTTCGAACGGTGCGGTGGCAACGGCGACGGCGACGGCGACGGCGACGGCGACGGCGGCCCACTTCGCTCTCCCACCCCTTCTGCCCCATCGTCGCCACCACCGCCGCCACCTCCACCACCACCACCACCACCACCACCACCACCACCACCACCACCAGCACCACCCTCACTCCACTTTAGCCCGCGAAGTATCGCGCAGCCGGCATCGGAGAAACGTAGCCGCGCTCTTGCGATCTTGCATACGCCGTTTTCGCTCGCGACCGTCGAGCGCGAGCTCGACGACTTCGATCGCGGGGAGATGCGATCGCGCACACTTGGTTAGTTTTCTAACGAACGGCTCGCGATGGCGGCGCGCTTGGCGAAGAGAATCGATGATTCAAATGACTGATGCGATACGAGTTCAAAGTGATCTAGATATTCGTGGCTCTCGGGGGGAACCCCAATCGCCGTTCATCCGTCACGCTCGACGGACGCGCCTGTCGCCGAGCAGTTAAAAAAGACGCTGCTTCGCGTGTCGGTAGTTAAAAAAGGGCAAGAAAAAAGAGAGAAAAGGGAAGGAATACAGGCGCACAGGCACACTCGGGAGAGATCCCAACGGCACCCATGGCGCGGTGCGTCGCCGCCGCTTATTGGAGTCTGGCTGCACGAGGATGCGCGCAGGAACGGTTCCAATTAGCCGCGCTAATTATTGCGTGCTGTCAGCCACTTACGACGTCGGAGACGCTTATAACTGCGGGATACGCGTGCATGACACGCTAGCCGTCCGCGAAGTCGCCCTCTCGCGCACACACACACACACACACACACACACACACACACACACACATGAGCCGGACACGTGCGGATCGCGCCGGATCCCCGAAAGCGATAAAGTTCTCATTAACTCGGGAAATCAAGTTTCGGCCGGCGAAATGACCCGGCCGTATGATTCCCTCGCGATTCGCTCGCGCGCACAATTCTCGAGCTGTCGACTCGCCAGGAATTTTATATCGCGCCGTGTCTGACGGATTACCGCGCGGCCGAGAACGCGTCTGCGCGTGTATTTCAGATCTCTCGTAGTGCGCGAGATGAGAAGGATCGGAGGGAGCAGAAGAGATTAGGAAATTAACTTGGCCTCGCTGTTTTAGACATTTCCTCGAAAAACGACGAAACGCACACACACACACACACACACACACACAGAGAGAGAGAGAGAGAGAGAGAGACACACACATACATACATCGCGCGCACCGTCGTGACCGTTCGATTTGCTTTTAATGTTCCAGACGGCGCCGTAGCCAAGATCACGATGACTATGGACGTGAGCAAATCCGAGACGAATAAAAATGGTTCGACGCAGCAGGAGTGCGCCGGCTGCGGAAAGACAATTACGGAGAGGTAAGCGCGTCGGCATTTTCTCTACACGGTTCGCCACTCCCTCGAAAGCGGAGAGAGAGGGAGGAAAAGAAAACAGGATTACCCTCGTTGTTTATGTCGCATCGTACTTCACATCCCGCTAATAAGCCCCCTCGCGATATCGATGCTTCGTTAGAATGTCGAAAGAGCCGCCGCTCCGTGCCGCCCGGCGAGAACGTCGATCTTTGATCTTCTCGTCCGCGGTACTTTCGCGTCCCTCTTTCGACCGGAGAAGCAGGCCCCCTCCCTCCCCGATTTTTCTCAAGAAATATAATATATATATTAGATATCGAGAGAGAGAGAGAGAGAGAGAGAGAGAGAGAGAGAGAGAGAGAGAGAGAGAAAAGAGAGACTTGTGGGGTTTAACGGCCGGTAAGAAGGAAAACTGCGGTCGGTTCTTCAGGTACCTCCTCAAGGCCTTGGACCTCTACTGGCACGAGGACTGCCTCAAGTGCGGATGCTGCGACTGTAGGTTAGGAGAGGTCGGCTCTACGCTCTACACCAAAGCTAACCTTATCCTCTGTAAGAGGGACTACCTCAGGCTCTTCGGCAACACAGGATGCTGCGCGGCATGTAACAAACCAATACCGGCGTTCGAGATGGTCATGAGGGCCAGGACGAATGTCTATCATCTCGACTGCTTCGCCTGTCAACAATGCACTCATCGGTGAGTACGATTAATGACGGGATTTTCCCATTTATTGAATATATTCACCTCGGATGAGCGCGCGTTCTTCAAGTCAGTTTCTCTTCTCCTGCATTCAAAGTGAGACACATTCCGTGTCTTGTTGTAAATATAAGAAGCGCGGATCTCTCATTTCGAAATTATGCGGATTGCAACGGCTTCTCCGACGGATTTTTGGCGAAATTACGCGGTGGGCTGCGATTCGGAAGTGACGTTACCCCCGTTCGTCGGGGGTTGGCAATTACCGAGTCGTGCGACGTAAAATCAAAGTTGGTGATCATGCAGAATTCAAATTGCTAAGCTTACGCTTCTCTCCCGTTTTTCCCTTCTTCCTGCCTTCCTCTGTTTTACTTCTTTTTTTTTTTCTTTCTTCTTTCTTTCTTTCTTTCTTTCTTTCTTTCTTCCTTTCTTTCTTCCTGCTTTTTCCCGCCGCTCACAGTTTTCGCGAACGATGCATCTTCCCCTTGTGTGGACACAAGGAGAGTGCGAGGAACGGACGCCAAGCGGGGAGAAGCGACTACACCGGTCCATGAGGCAGAGCCCACTGGGGGAGGGGGTGGGTGGGGGAAAGGTTGCTTTACAGGTCAACTGGGAAATCACCCTGCACTTTCCTCGCCGTGACCTCTTCTTTCGCTCGCGCTGCCATTCTCCGACCCGGCAGCGGTCGGATCAACTTCTTCATCGTGAAACCCCGCGGCACATCCTCGCGCACATTCACGGCCTCGGCTCTTCGCCCGCCGAATGCGCGATGCTCCTTTATCGATTTATCCTTCGTCTATTTTTATCGCCATCATCGTACATTCTTCTCAGTCCTTCTTCAAGTCAGACTCGCGAGCCGTAATGTCGATGACTGCGCTGCAGTCACTGGTCAATTTTCCTAGGACCCTCGTCCTTTATTTTCTTCCCGTACAACTTTTCGTTAAACGTGCCGCGCGTTATGGGTTTTATAAGTTGCCAAAGTTCCACGACGACGACATCCTTAGAGGACTCGCCTCGGGCTGAGAATGAATGTCTCTCTTCCTTCTCCCTGTCCCCCTCTTTCTCTCTCTCTCTTTCTCTCTCTCTCTCTCTCTCATATCCTGTATCTCATCTTCGTTCGATCCGTTCCGTCCTTCAGGAGCAGTTACGTAATATCCGAGTATCGCTGACATTTTCGCGCTCGATCGAGATTATCTCCGCGGCCGGGACACCGCTGATATTCCCCGCTCGACTTTCAATATATCGTCGGCTTGACTTCGCGCAGCCTGCGCTCTGTGTCGCGTTTTACGGAGGAATGGAAGGACGAGACGTGGCGGTGGGAGGGAGGGAGGGAGGGAGGCAGGCGGTATCATCGACGCGGGATCAACCGCCGCGGCGGCGTTCCCATCGATCGGAGCCGCGCGTTATCATCCGTTATTCTTTTCTTCGATCCTTTTAATTATCCTACAGGCCGCGGTACGGTACGTGTAAACAATATGTGGCAACGACGAGGCACGGCCAGCAGGCTCCTGTCGCGATTCAATGGCGGAAACCCGTACAAACGAGAGCACAAAGCCAACGAAGCGGTACAATGCTGGCTTACGGACGAAGTGACTCGTTTTTTCGGAGGGGTAACAACGTCCACACACAGGAGAGAGGAAGAGAGAGAGAGAGAGAGAGAGAGAGAGAGAGCAGATAGCGGAGAGGGATTCTGTTGCTCTATCGACGGAGAATGGCGGGCAGGGAAGGGGGGAAGGTAGTATAGTAGTAACGGCGGCGCGAGGGGCTGTGATAGAGGAGCCGGAGGTGGAGGATGTAGTTCCAAGCCAATAGCAATGGCTCGTCCAGGCGTGCGGCAAACGTTGCACAGCGTCTCAAACAATGTGAACAAAAGAGCATCAATTTTACGTTTTTATCGTCCGGCATTGTCTATCTTCGACAATGCCTCCGCTTGCTCGCTCGCGCCACTCGTGGCGAGATCGTCCCGCGTGGGTGGTGCGCGCGGGGTGCTGCGGGACGGGGGGGGGGGAGAGGGATATCGGGATAGTAGCTACGGTCGCACGTACGTCAGCGTCAAAACCGAATGCGAGACTCGGAGGGAACAGAGGAGACGCGGTCGGTCCTGCGGAAAAGGCCGCGGCGTGTGGACGAAGACGCCACGTGGAGAGAGAGAGAGAGAGAGAGAGAGAGAGAGAGAGAGAGAGAGAGAGAGAGAGAGAGAGAGAGAGAGAGAGAGAGAGAGACTTCGTCTCGGCGGACGTCCGCGCGCGCGTGAACGGACCGAGAATGAGTAAATTGGCACAGCTGCATTATTCGGCTGTTGGATTTGTTGTTGTTGGACAATCGCGTTGCGTGTCAGGGACGATATATACGGACGCAATTAAGGCGCGCGAGCGCGCGATGAAATATGCCTGATGCGGAATATATTCGGTAGAGCGGCCAGAGTTACCCCTCGCGTGCGCGCGCGCGCGCGAGCGTGCGATCGCGCTGCGCTAAAAAGCAGGTAGGTAAATTTGAAGAGGCCAATTACTCGCAGCGCTGCGCGTCCTGTAACGAGACGACTTAGAGTTTGCAATTAAACAGCAACAATTACACGGGGTAACTTTAGACTGTAATAACACAGAATAAAGGGTTGCCAGTGGCGGCGACTAGGCTCCCACCCTCCTGGTTAGAGGATGATTTACCGATGCAATTAGCTCTCTCTTTCTCCCCTCTCTCTCTCTCTCTCTCTCTCTCTCTCGTGTTCTCTCTTTTGCTCGCTCGTTTCCCCTTCTCTTTCTCTCTCTCTCTCTCTCTCTCTCTCTCTCCCTCTCTCTCTTGCATCCCCGATGCACACAAACACACACGTCTCAGTGTGCGCGCAAGCGCCGCATCGCGTATCTGCTTTTCCCCTCCGATTTCTTTGCTTCCGTCGAATCCGGTCAAACATAATGACTACTCGATTAAACTTTCGCCCCTGCGACTTGGATTCGATATCCCGTCGGAGCGGGCTCTCTCTCTCTCTCTCTCTCTCTCTCTCTCTCCCGGCGAAATTGCGAACAACGGTAAAATTTCTCATTCGCGGGCGATCGCTGCCGCGCGACGTCCCGAGATCGTATCACGGAGCACGTGATTTTCATCGCATATTACGCGATATTACGCGTTGCGTGCGCTCTTTCTCTCGTTTCTTTTTCTCTTTTCTAGTTATCAGCTCGCTCAGGAATGCGTCACGTTCGCTGGCGCACGCATGTATGTGTATATGCGTCCATGTTCGAGAGCGCGCTGCCCCGTCATTCGGCAATTCCGCAATTTCCGCGATTCACACCGCGGTGCGTCGCGATAAAGATTTTATCTGAGGAACTGGCGTACACACACATACATACACACGCACACACACACACACACACACACACACACACACACACACACACACACCCTCCGTGTTTCGGATCCAAGACGCGCAAGGTGAGATCGCTGAAACTTTGATGCGCCGAAGCTCGCGCAGAGACGGTATTACTCTTTGAGGACTATGGCCACGTCGACGGAGCGGCCCGTAAAGTGCCTCTAACGGGGTCACGCATTGCCACCAGTGGTATCATTTATTGAATCGCAGCGGCTACTTTCCGCCTTTGCACCTCGTAGTAGTCGTCGTCGACGTCGTCCTCGTCGTCCTCGTTGTCACGTCGATCGAACGTCGTCGTCGTCGTTCTCTCTTTCCCTCCTGCCGGTATCGTCTCTCTCCCCCCGTCCCCTCCCCCTTCCATTGTCCTGCGGCTGTCCTCCGGCAGCTGGCTCCGGAAGCCAGGGCTACCCTCGTTAAAGATTCAACCGAGTTATCTGAGCGCCACCCAGATTGAAATTTTCCATGCAGACCGTACAGTCGTTCTCTCGCGCGACTTCACCCACCCTTCCTCCGCCCGTCCCACGAACTATCTTCCGCGTCGATGGTTCACTCACCCCGGTCAGTCGATGTTTCTCGGCCGTCCCGACACCCCCCCCCTCCCCCGTCCTGATCGATTTAAGGTCGCTGTAATCAAAGCGGCCGTGACGCGGCGTACGAGTCTTGGCCGGCATTCCGCGGCCGGATAATTCCCATCGGAAATCTCAGCCTGTGTCGAAATTTCACAGCGGGGGAAGTGCTGGACGTCTAATGGACGCGCGCGCTCGCGCCTGCGAGGCGAATCAGAGGCGTGTTAGAGAGAGAGAGAGAGAGAGAGAGAGAGAGAGAGAGAGAGAGAGGCGCGTGGCTTTCATCGCTTGAAGTCGACGGCGACGAGCAATGTCGCTCTTCGCCGTACAACGACGGGCGGCGGGGGGGGGGGGGAGAGGTAACCGCCGTCCGCGGTCTCACCCTCTCGCGTTCGAACGGGGCGAAGAAATTGCGTCGCGGGCTCCCGGGTGCCGTGAAACGTGTCAAAACGGCCGTAAACAACGTGATGTATCCCGCGCGACGGCCGGGGCTGTGCGTGGCGGGCGGACGAACGGACGGGCGGCTCTGGCAGGCACGTAATAAAAAGAAAATTGAATGGAAACACTTACGGAATTGCGCCAATTACGTCGAGGTGGGCGTGCTAGGTGCGCTCGCGCTGTAATAAAGCGTGTTCGCACGGCAGCGCCGGCGGCGGCGGCGCGGCCGGCGAATTCGCTCTCATTGCGATGAACGCAGAACGGGAGATAAATCAAATTTTAAGCGTTTACAACTTGGTGCGCGCGCGTACTGCGCGCTGCGCCACGGTGGAAAGTAACACTTCAGGGTAGCGAGGACTTCTTCGATTCACGCGTGGCCTTGATATTCCCTTCGTGATGGAGGGAGACGAAGTATCTCGCGTCGACACACATCTCAGCGTGTCTCTCTCTCTCTTTCTCGCGTGTTCTCCCCTCTCCTCCCGCTCCTCCTCTTTCTCTCTGGATATTCTGTAAGTAAACAAATCTCCGCAATGATGCACAGGACACTCGGCTCCGGCGTTACGTGGATCAGTTTTAATACTTGACCAAGGCTATCCGTGCAGCTGGGCGGCCCTCGTTCGATCGCGAGCTCGGATAGAATATTCGCGCGCTCGACGTTTCTTCGACGGCGATTTCTCGAGGCGGGTCGGGCGATACGTCGAATTCGCGCGTGCAAAAAAGCAGCCGGTGGGTGGTCCAGGCGGAAAATTATGGGCTGGCGCGCGCGCGCACCTCGATATCGTTCCACGGCAGACCGTATTTGCGCCGTTTTCGCGAGAAAGGATCGGGCTATGCGCGGCATTATTCGCGCGCGCATAATGGAAGGTCCGGAATGACTGCGCTCACGTGCAACGCGATAATTCTATTGCCCGCGCAATTACGACAGTATCTGCCTCTAGCCAGACGGCCGAAAAAGGTATCCAAAGCGTTACAAGGATTATTTTCGTTTAAGCCGTCCGGCAGTGCCGCCGCTCGCTCGCTCGCTCGCTCGCTCGCTCGCGCGGGCCCGCCGGATATTAATTTATTTCTTTTTTGTCACGCCTTCTCGCCTCGCGTCCCGCGCGAGTCGCTCCGAGGATTAATGGGAAATGACTAATGGCGAAATACAAGTACACCTCCGTCGATTGTATCGCGCGCCGACACGGCGAAAACGCCTGCAAGAGTATCAATTATACCACGGTAACGACGGTCATTATATTTTAATTAACGCGTTCGGTTTGCGCGCGTTGCGCAATTTTCTTTCCTCGACGTGTGCACTTTGTCGCTCATGACGGCCGTATTTACTCGTCGAAATCAGAACATCAGGCCGAGAGAGGGGGGGGGGGGGTTGGTGCGTCGACGCGTGAGCGATGTATCGGATGGATTTGGAAGTAGACCAAAAAAGAGTGAACCCCCCCTCTCTCTCTCTCTTTCTCTCCCTCACTCGTACACACACACACACACATACACACTGACGACGCAAACTTGCGCGAAGGCGACGGGGAAAAAGAACGATACGCGTGCGTGCGGATGAAAAATCCAGGGGAACGGCTGTCGGGGACGCATCGAGCGGCAAGGCCGCAACGCCGAGAGTTGGACCGGCAGGATGCGCGGCGGGGAGGCTGAGGGGCAGGGATAGGTATCCGATTGGAGTGTGGCGTCATTTAGCAGACGACGCGTATAATAGGGGAAACGAGCGAAACCCGGTATAAGCCGCGCGCTTGCTGCCAGCACGGCCACGCGCAGCAACGCGATAATTCTATTTGCCGTGCGATTATGAGAGTATCTACCCCGAGCCAGACCCGACCCGACCTGGCGCGGCGCGGCGCGGCGTGGCGTGGCGCGGCGCGGCGCCGCGCTCTCGTATTTCGCTCTCGTATTTCCTAGCCCGGGATCAAAGCGGATGCGAGGCCGCATGCGGACAGAGGCCCCGATAATAATTATTTGTTCGATGCGTTGCGCGATATGCTCGTTATCCAGCGGAACTCCTTTTTCGAACCGCCCCCCTCCCCCCCCCGCCCCCCGCCCGGATCACCCCGCTTTCTTTCCCGCCGCGCGCGACGCGCGTGTACCGGTCGATCGAGTTTTCGCAGATCAGTGTCTGATCGCTGATCGCGTTATTTGTCGGAATCCTTCCGAGGAGTCTCTTTCTCTCTCTCTCTCTCTCTCTCTCTCTCTCCTTGGGCCGCGACGTGCCGGACGTGAATTTTTGATAAAATGTGGAAGAGCGAGACGGGCTCGGTGCGCGGAAGCTTCCTTGTTGTTAATTACGACGACAACGAGAAGTGGCTGTCTGTGATACTTGCCGAGGCAGGCGACCGGGGATCGTTAGAACGATGCTCGTCAGAGTGGGAGATGGGGCGAAACTCGTCGAACGATGTCCGACACAGAGGGTGCTTTTTCTGCTTGCAGGTTTTGCGTGGGCGATCGGTTTTACTTGTGCGAGAATAAGATTCTCTGCGAGTACGACTACGAGGAGAGGCTAGCCTTCGCTAATATGGCGTTACAGACACCCGCCTCATTAGCATACATCAAAAGGCAACTTCCTCCCACACCGACGCCCCCGGGCCAGAACATGCACCCGGGACACAATCCGCTGCAGGCTCATCAGGGTCTGGGGCAGTCGGTGGCTCAACACAATCACGTGCCGAACGTAAGTGCCAAGAACGCGCGCGAACGAACCCTCACCGAGTGTTTAGAAGAATCGAGTCCAATTCCGAGCGGCGCGTCTCTCTTCCGCCATATTTCCCGTATTTTTCTCCGATTACACCACCGAAGACTCGAGTCGCGTAGTCGTGATCTCGAGAACCCTCTCTCGCCCGATTCCTTTCCTTGTTGGGTCTCTCCCTCACGTAATTCTCGCAGCTGATGAGAGGAGAATCAAGATTCGCGAGATCGTCGTGTGCGACGTGGTGCTGGTGCGACGTCGTCTCACGTCTTTGCGAACCTTTTATGACTTCAGGGTCAAATGTCGGGCGGTACGCCGACGGTGAACGGGACGGCTATAGGGGTCGGCGGACCGAGGGCGCCGGGTGACATGAACAACAACGGCCTGTCGGGGCCCGCTCTCGGACCCGTGAAGCCGCCCCCGATGTCGATGCAGGCGCCGACCAGCTGAAACGAGGCTTCGCCGTCTCTGAAGAAGCTCAGGTGTCTCAGCGGTTACTAAGACCGACGGGAGTTCTCCTCGCTCCGTGGAGATAATTGAATATTTCAAGCGGCGGGGAGGAGGAGGAGGAGGAGGAGGAGGGGGAGGAGGGAGGAGTGGGACGAAAAGAAGTATACGTTGCACCGCTGAGAAGAACGGACGGGATGGACGGGAGGAAAGGGGTTGCGATGTCGAGGGCTCGCGGAGTGACAGAGACCGCGGCGGGAAGGGAGAAGATTGGAACACGCGCGCGCGCAGGATCGGACGCGAAGTCCTTCCTGGGACTTTGGCGATGAAGTGTGACGCTCAGCAGTTGGAGATTGGAATCACTGTGATCGTGGCAAATGAACAAATTTCATGGCGGATATGTTAATACAATAGGACACGCGCGAGGTACGGGCCAGAGCACGCTCGATACACCGTATTTACGAACAGACCCACACACACATACACACACACACACACACGTATACGGACACCACGCATACACTGCTACACGTCGCACCCGGACACGAACGGACGCCGAACGACGTTCGCGTAGTTCTCGGGGGCCGATGCACATGTGTGCATCTTGTAAGATACGACCACACGCGACACACACGTAAGGTTAAATTAGATGATTTGTGTAAGATATATTTCCAGCGAGAGAGACGAGACACGGGGGTGGTGAATGTGAGGGCTCTCAGCGAGCGCGTGCATGCGTGTGTGCGTGTGTGTGTGCGAATGAATGGCGGAGTCGCTTGTAAATAAATCTGTGTCGTATTCGACTCCGTGAGTGAGCAAGAGAGGGAGAGAGGGGGAGGGGGAGAGGGAGGATGAAACAATTACCAGTATACGCAGGCCCACCAAAATGACTCTTATCCCGCTCGTGATACCGCCATCGTTGATCCGTAAAGACGTGGAGCGCCAGTTCGGAGGAAACAGCAACAGTGAGGGAAAGAGAAAGAGAGAGAGAGAGAGAGTGAGAGAGAGAGAGAGAGAGAGAGAGAGAAGCGAACTTTCAGCGAGAGCGAAGAGGACACGAGGGGTTCTGTAACACGTGCCATAATCCTGCGATCTCTCGTTTCACAGCCGACCGAAAGGGCGCTGCCAGGAAGAGGGAAAGGAGACGAGTAAGATGATGATTATTTTATATTCCGCGATCGCGGAGAATCGCGGCAAGCGCGACCGCGACTTCGCGAGCTCTCGCACGCGCGTCTCTCGCAAATTTATACCAACGTAAACATAATTCTTCCCTCGTCGCGCCTGGCACTCGGAAACGACGACGCGGCAGACTTCATTTTCGTGTCCCTCTAGTCTCGTAAAATTTCCGTTATGTCGCGCGGTGTGTCATCGTTGATTCTCGCGTCGGAGAAGAGAGCGGGACGTGCCCGCGACAGTCGATACCAAAGAGATAATTCAAGACATTAGGTTAAGAGCCCCTCGGATCGAGCGCCGCGGAGAGAGAGAGAGAGAGAGAGAGAGAGAGAGAGAGAGAGAGAGAGAGAGAGAGAGAGAGAGAGAGAGAGAGAGAGAGAGATTGAGTTTTCGACAGCCCGACGCGCGTCACGGCGACGGTTATTTTCCACCAGCATCCATCCGGCGGAGCGTTCGCGAGACGGCGAGGAGCAACGGCGGATTATCGTACGGATCCCCCCGATCGGTCTCGATGCTCGCGTCGGAGCTTTCGGTAAATCGGACAAAGCACTCTTACTCACTTTTCACGTCACTTTTCACTTTCGTGCCGAGAGAAGCCCATAGTGATTTATGTTTCCCGCGTGTTCGACGAGACGTCGAGCCTTCGTCGTAGACAGCCGCGCAGCTCCGGCGGCAAGCTGACCCAAGCGGGATCTTCGCGCGTACGTTAATCCGCCGCCGACGACGTGAGATGCGACGCGAGCCGGAGCCGCCAGAGCGCGGCGAGGGGCTTAGTCACTTAGCTTTAACGCTTCAATGCCAAAAATACGAGCGGCGCTTATCTATACCAAACGCCAAACGGCACACATCCCTTCGTAATCGTGCGAAGCAGGTGGGAAGAGGGCGACGACGAGGATGCTCTCTCGCGCCGCGCTCTCGTCGGCGCGCGCCAACACTATTAACCGCGGGCTCACGAGTCCACGCTAATTTCGCCGTGAGTGATTTCCACGCGGCGCCGGAAGGTACCGGTCTGTCTCGTTCTCGCGTGTGTCCGGGCTTTCTCTCGCTCGCGACCGGCGGGACCCCGCTTGCACCGACGTCGCCGCGGAGCGACAGGGTAACCGTAACGCACGTAACGTTGTTCTCTCGGCAGGCGCATCAAATCCCCTCCGTAGTGCCGGCTACACACATCTTCTTATCATCGCGTACACAGACAGAGTTGCAGGCCGATCGTCTCTGCGCCGAGCTGAGCCCGCGATTACGGTTACTTGATCCCGAAGCGGACGGGAAAACACGGAGTCGATGGCTGAGGAGAGACGCGTCCGATTCTCGCACTCGCAACGCGATCATCGGTGCAATCGGTCTCACGTTCCGCCGGAACTGTCGACAGAGTCGTCGTCGTCGGCGCTCCCGACGCTCACGACGACGATGCGACGCGCGCTGAATCCGAGAGAACGCAGGCGTAATCGGGATTTATAGTTTGCGCATCGAGTATATGTAAATTATCGAGCAACAGTGGATCGAACCCGACGACTATCGTACCGTGTTAGTACAAAGATCCTGTGACGTAGAGAGAGAGAGAGAGAGAGAGAGAATGAGAGTGAGAGAGAGAGACTGAGAGAGAGAGAGAGAGAGAGAGAGAGCGAACGAAAGAGAGTCGGCTACGATAGAGGCGATACAGTGACGAGCGAGAAGGACATGTGTCTCCCACGTAGGCGGAGAAAACGAGGGACGATTTTTTCCCGTTTTTTATCCATCTGTATATAACATCACTTACTAGGGCTCTATTAATATATTTACGACCGCTCCCCTTCGCGCGGGGGCTCCCATTACTACCGAGAAAATATAACATTCTTATAAATACAACCTGGTGCATTCCAAGGACGTTCTCTTTTTATTTCGCAGCCGAGAAGGAGACGGCGGCGGCGGCGGCGGAGTGCGCGAGTTTAAATCCCAGACACATCCCCTGGCACGGATCCTGCAGTACACGCGCGTCCTATGCGCGGTACTCGTTGCGCTTCCTCGTCTTCTTCATCATCGCTCTCCCAGTTCACGGCTCCTTCTCCCTTACCCGACAACCCGCTGCCTATCTTCCTGTCACGTCGGGCCGAGATCGAGGTAAAGTCCCAGCTCACGTAAGTTGCTGCGATCCGATCATGCGCGGATTCCATTCAACGCGTGCTGCGAGGGCGGTGGGCGAGGCGAGAGGGCGGGCAGAGAGGAAGAGCGGCGGAGCGGCTCGCGCGCGCGGTGCCGAGCCTAATACGAGAAGGGTAGGAACGCGATTTCCCTAATGCCCGCCAGCCCGCGGAGCCGAATGTTATTATGCGCGGTGAAGACTTTATAATGGGACGCGGAAACTCCTTAAAACTCGCGCCCGGATACGCGCCCCCGAAGACGCGTACGGCTCCGCGCTACAACGCGAACGCGCGCGCGCGCAAGAGAGAGAGAGAGAGAGAGAGAGAGAGACAGAGAGCCGTAACTGGAAACTTATGCCGCCGCGATCGCGTTACGAGGTCGTTTCCGGTTCTATGGGCGGTTTCATTTTTAGGATTGCGCGCCGAGTGGCACGGCGATCGGCCGCGTCATGGCGCCGTTGAAAGACTGCTGTCTCGTTGGGAAAGGGGAAGAAACTGCTGCCGCGTTCGTCGTACTAAATCGCTCGCGCGCCTCGCCGTAATCGACCTCTCGCGGTCAAAGCTTAGCTTAGTAGCGATGCGATCGTTGACAAAGTCACTCTGTCCGATGAATCGCGATGACTTTGCGATTGAGTGTGACAGCAAGAGAGAGAGAGAGAGAGAGAGAGAGAGAGAGAGAGAGAGAGAGAGAAAGAGCGAGAGGGAGAGGGAGGTAGATGGAGCGTAATTACAGTGACGTCCGTCGCGTAACATTCCTCATTTTTTCTTGCGCACGATTAAACCGCGATTAACTCTGATTAATTTTTCTTTACGAGAGCTGCCCGGGGTTGTTTTAGTCCATAGCCGACGCCATTCATCGGCGATGATATTATCAAAAATAATACCCGCCTTTAATGCGTTCGGGCCGGAAGGGGTTAACAATTTCGGCTCGCTTCCGGTGCGTGCTCGGGCGAATTAATCCCACGTCGCGCGAGTGGCCGCGACTCGTCATCTCGACCCTCCGACCACCACCACTACCACCACCACCATCACCACCACCATCACCGCCGCCACCGCCACCGCCACCGCCACCTCTACCGCTGCCACAGCCACTACTACCACCACCACCACCATCACCACCATCAGCGTCCACGTCCAGAGTCGCATTAATCACGTCGAAGGCAGGCAGGGGCGGCGGCGGGGTTGAGAGCAGCGCGCGAGACCTAGGAACGAAAGGGAGAACGGAACCCCTTAAAATAATCTGGCCCGAAATGAAATCAGCCAAGGCAATTTCCAACCCCCCCGTCGTATCCGACGGCGATGTTAACAGCGGTGGCGGTTTTATCCTCCCGGCCGACAGGCCCACAGCCACATCCCTCTCCTCGACCACCCCCGATTCCGTCGCAGTGCAACCGACAAATGACGACGCGGCAACCCCCTCGCGGCGGCTCACGGAATTAAAGATCACGAGATAAGGGTGTCATCCTTCGCTATGCATTATGTGTTCGGCAAAAAGCTCGCCCCCGGGCCATCCTGCCGTTCCACCGCCTTCGCCCCTCCGCCCCCTCTTCCTCTACCCATCTCTCTTTTCACTGCCTGCCTTCTTCTCTGGCGCGCGCTTATTTCGGGGGGTGCCGAGAGAGAAAGAGTGAGAGAGAAAGAGTGGACGGGGAAGAGGAGAGCGAGAGAGAGAGAGAGAGAGAGAGAACGAGTGAGAGAGGGTGGAAGGTTCCAATTAATCTACTTCGTCCATTTTTTGCCCGTTCAAGGCATCTCCGCTGGCGTTCCTCTCTCGTATCGTATCGACATTCTCGTACTAGAAACGCCCATCCTCTCGAGCACGATGTAGATATAATGAAGAGGAACGTCGAGTGTCTCGCGAGTTTGTGTAGAGGTTTTTCTTAGAGACGCTCGCGAGACGCGTTACACAAGGGTGCGTCGCTTATGAACCGCACTTCCTCCTCCGAGTCCAGGCGAACTCAGATTCCGGCCGCGCGAGCGGCGCGGCGGCGCTCGTATTTCAAGTTTTATCGCTTGAAAACATTAAGGGGCTCACACACTCCGAGCCGAGTTAACTCGCAACGCGGACTCGCGTCGTCGTCGTCGTCGTCGTCGTCGTCGGGATCGAAATCCCCCGCAGGAATGTATCATCGTTGCCGCGTGCTTGCGCGACTCCTCCACGAAATGTCTCGAACAACAGTCGTCTGGAGGTGCTGGAAGATCACGTCTCAAGACTGCCAAGTAAGTACCCCTAGACAATTAAGATACACTTTTGAGTTCTCCTCGAAATGAGCGCGAATTTGTCCACGGCGCGGAGAACTCGAGGAAGAAGGACGCGAGATGTGTGTCTCTACGGCAGTCTCAGCGCAACGGCCGGAACCCTCGACTTGTGCGCCGAAGAGCGCGATTTGTCGCAACTATTATATTAGGTCAGCTTGTTACCCGAGTCGTAGCCGGCTCGAGGCTCCGCGGGGCCTCGCGCGGAAAGCACGAGGGGAGCAGAGGAAGAAGGATCGTTCAATGTCGCCGGCGAAAATCGAAGCCGCGTCCCGAAACATCCTGAAACAATCACACGGTCTTCAGCTCTGCGTTAGTACCGTTAGAGCCGGGTGTACACACAGAGCCTTACACGCTCTTCGGTTCTCGGGCGCGGGCGCGGGGCGCGGGAGCGAGGCGCCGTAGGGCCGCGCGTTATGTATAGGGTGTACCGAAGGAAATAACCGTCATCTGTATTCGCGATAACATCGTAATTGAATGCGGTTGACGGGGATTTGCAGTGTACGACGTCCGACCACCAGCGGCCCCACGAGCGGTTCCCCTGCCCTCCCCCCACCCCCCACTCCCCCCCGCGGGCGCTCGCACTCGCGCGCACTTCTTCCTCCGTCACCCTCCGCATCCAGCCCATCGTCGTCGACGGACTCTCTTTCCCTAACCCTCATTGCCCCTTTCGGCTTATTTCTCCTCCTTTCGCTTCTCCCTGACATTCTTTCATTCTCAGCTCGCTCCTTCCGCCTCGGAAGCGAAATTCTCGAGGGACCTTGCGCGAACGATCACACGCGCGAAATTACAGGCCGTCCGGCGCGGCGGGGAAGATCGCGCGAGAGCGCGCGTATCTATCGGCGAGAACGGACTCGAGAGCGTCTCTCGTAGGGGTCGGCGATCTTACTCTTCGACGTAAACCAGCCCCTCTTCGCTCCCTCGGTATTCCTCATTTCGCAGCCAATCTTCCATCGCCATCTCCTCTTCCGTTCGCCCGTTGTTTGCTTTTTCTACCCCGCTTTCTTGGCCGCCGCCGCCGCCTCCCTCGTTCGCGCGCGCGCGCGCGCGCGCGCGCTCCCTGCCTACCTCCTCGCCTCCCGCACGCTCCCAACCAGCCGTCCTTCGTTCACTTTTTATCTCCCGCGGGTGGAGCATTAATCATATCAAGGCACGGGAAAAATCTACTCCCCCGATATTTAGGGTGTGTCGTGGTATTGTCACACGTGTGTACACCCGCGTGCGTGGACACGCGGCTGCGTGTCGGGGTTTTTGCGAAGGGGCGGCGAAGGCGGCGCGATACGAAAATAGCAGGGGAGAGGAGAGGAGAGAACGGCGGCGAGAGGTTTATGAGGGACTTTTCGGCGAGGTGATCCCCCGCGCGGTGAGGACCGCGCCTTCTCGGCCGCTGTTTCCCAGACGAGTGTGTGCCTCGCGAAATGGATTCGGGTCGATACGTCCGCGCTATTCTAATTGTGTCGCGACACTCTTGAATCTATTTACGTCGACACCCGCGCGCGCGCGCGCGCGCACACCCACACGTCCAGCCGCGCGGAACCTCTGCGCGGAAGAATGTGCCACACTGTTTTACCGTGTTACACAAGAGAGTCTCGCTGATTCGACGGATTTCTCCGATGACGACGACGACGTCGGATCGCCAGCTGTATTTTTCAAGTAACTGACGTTTGGAAGTACGGGGGGGCTTCCCCGGGGGAGAATCAAATCTCAGCCGAGAAACGGGCGACGACGTTTAATTTCTCCGTCAGATTGGCCGCGATTGAGAGGGTTAAGAGGTGTGACGGTATTCGAGGGAGGAGGATGAAACTCGCGCATAATTTCAATACACATTTCCGCGTGCGTTCTTCGATTCTTTTCGCGACTTCGAGAGACGGCGCGGATTTCCCTTCTCTCTCTCTCTCTAGCGCGCGCGCGCGCGCGGTGAACGCCGACGCGAGAGAGCGGAGAAAAGGGCGAGCTTTTTGCGCGTTTCGCGCTAATCAACGGAGAAGAGCTCGTTTTGCGATCCGGGATAGCGATCCTTGCATGCGGAATGCACTGATGGGAAATACTTGTTACGTCGCGGCTACTGTCACGGCCGCTGATTGGCGCATGACCGTTGGATTTCGCGCTTTATTAATGGCCGTCCGTCGTCGTCCTTCTCCCACGCGCTCTCCCTTATCCTGCGTGGTCCTCGATCTAGGTTTCACCTCCCCCGGCCTCTACCACCCGCTCGGTATATCGGCTATCCTCCGTTTCCGCACCGCACCGCGTCGTGCCGCGCCGCGCCGCGCCGCGCCGCGACTGCCGCTGCCTGCGGCGCCAAATTATTTACGGAATCTCGTTTTTCGCGCTCTGATTTCGTCCGCTTCGAACGCTGTGACGCAGATTGAGCGAGATATTATTTCAGGAGCATCGCGCGAAGATCGATCGCGCCGCGATTCGCGCTCCGGCGAATTCATCAACAATTCAACGCGCGCTCTTCACTCTTTTCGG